AAATAAATAACTCCAAGGGATGAAGGGAGAGCAAAAACTTGAGCTTTACAACTCTAGCAGTATTTGGAGATAGGTTTCCTATTAAAATGCTAGTTTTCCTCTACCTATTACTCCTGGAATCATTTCATTATATTATCTACACCTTAACCTCCTATAGATAAACCATTATCCAAGAACCAAATTCAAAACGTGATAAAATAATAACGGTTAGTATTAAGCGCTACGTACTATGTACCAGGCACTATAATAAGTACTTTACATTTATTTTCTCATTTACTCATCACATCTTATGAATAAAGGTATTATTAGTGCTCTATTTTACAGATAGGTGAACTGAGGCATAGAACAATTAAGGAATATGTCTACAGTCACAAAGTTAGTAAGTGTAAGGCCAGGATTCTGTTCTAGATAATTTCTCTTAGTCACTTTGTATTGTCATTTTTTTTTAATCATGGTCATGTGGGGAGGTGATGGGCTTTTCTATAAGTGTCTCAGTTTACAACTTGACCTGTAATGTATCTCTTTTCCCTGCCTTCTCTCTGCTCACAGTCCTGAGTCTAGGCAATAGTCCTGCCTTGTGTGTTTTACCTGTCCTCAATCTGATACAGCAAAAAATGGAATTTGAATCTCTGCCTTGGATCTCATTGCTGAGAAATACTTGGTTAGCCAACTTCAGTATTAATAAAACCACTAGAATCGAGTGCTATATACTTTAGATTCCAGAAAGTCAGGAAAAGGAGGAGGCTGGAGATCATTCAACATCTTCATTTTATACGTTTCCTAGTAAGAAAGCTGAGACTTAAAGGAGCTGGAGAAGTGAATTTTCCCAGAGTCACACATGTAACAAGTTTACATGCTAAAAAACCCAAACTGGTTGAGCCACATACTAACCTGTGTACTTAGTGCTATAAAGCAATGTGAATAACTTATAAATACTTGAATGAATAATTAATTTGAATCTTAGAAGTGTAGTTTGCCGTTGTAGGTATCCAAGGTTAGAAATAAAAAAAGAACACTTAGATAGGAGGAAGATGGCAGACTTGGTAAAAGCAGGATTTGTCTCCTCCCAGGTCCACATTGAAATTACAACCAAACTATAAAATAAGCAACGTGGAGAATCACCTGAAATCAGACTGATGTTAATACATATGTCTGATAATATAAAAGAGCCACATTGAAGGTGGTAGGAAGGGCAAAGTCACAAATCTGGCTGGACCCTCACTCACAGTGGTGGAGGATCATGGGGAGGGAGAGCGAGGATGCAGAGGCTTGCTGAAGAGAGGGGGTTCCTGGTCTCATTTGGGGGCTCCCAGCCAAGGGTCCCAGCCCAGGGAACAGGAGATTTCAATAACTCTGGGAATAAAAACCAGAGGGGATTCTGGCTGTCGGGGTGAGACAGAAAGAGACTGAAACCCTAGATGCCCCTTTGAAGGATTCGTGTACAGACATTCTGATTTGTGCACACTCATCTAGGACACTGGCGCTGAGTCAGAGGTTCACATGGGATTCATTATGAGAAAGTCTGCATTACTTGGCACAAGAACAAGGGCTGGGAGGGCAGCCAACATTGTGCCTTAGTCAGGCCCACCGTCTGGGCAATCTACAGACCACACAAGCTTGACTATGCAGCCGCCTCCCACGGAGCCATTAGGAAGAGCTAGCCAGAGGGGATCAGCATGCCCCACCCAACCAGAAGATTGCCCTGGGCATTTATTGCTGGATGGCTACCAAGCCCTCCTCTGATTCTGGGCCAAACATTCCCAGTGGGGAGCCAGCACTGTGAGCCCCATTTCCGAGATAGGATCAGGCAGATCAATGCTGCCAACATGAACTTGAGCAGATCTCGGGGATCTGTAGGCCAGTACCAGACTGCAGCTGGTCTTGCTGTGATCTGAGACTTCTGTGGAAACACACAAAAGGTTGCCAAAGTTGCGGCAAGACTGAGACTATACTGATCTGACTGCCATTGTCTCTCTGAGACCCCAAACCACCCTACCCACAAATTGCCCCAGGTGGCCCATTGACAGTGAACTGTCACAGCCCTGCCCCCCTGCCCCCCCGTCCCCTCCCGCTGATCTCCCAATCCACACAGGTAAAAACTTTGGCTGGCACAGGACAGGCACTGCACAGAAATCTATTGCAGGCAGACCACTTTTGCATGCAAGAGTTGGAATATTGTGTCCAGGGAGTGCAGGGATATCTGGGACCACCACAGATGGCAGCTGGTCTGTGACTACAGCAGGAAAGCCCAGGCACAGAAGTTGCAACAAAACTGAGGATTTATTGGCCAGACAGCCCTTGTCTCCCTGAGATCACCCTTTACTCAAGCCACAAAGTGCCTGCAGCCCGTTGACAGACAGCCTCTCATGCCCTGTTTGGCTCTGGGGTTGTGTAGTCAGCACAGGCAATAGACCTTGGCTAGTGCAGTGAGCGGATTTCGAGGAAACCATTTGTGGACAGACCACTGCTGCCTGTACGAGCTGCAATATCTCTTGAGGGGATTGCAGCAGTCTGTATTGGTCTGACAGCCCTTTAGTCCCTGAGCTCCTGCCCCATCTAATACACAAAGTGCGTGCTGCACACTGATAGGCAGCAGCTCCTGTCCTGGGGTAGGGCATTAGGCACAAGGTGGGCAGCAGCTGACCTTGTTATGAGTGGAAACTTGTACAGGGAGCCACAGAAACAGTGTTGGTACATAACTGACACTGCAGTGACAGGGGAAAATTTACTCAATAGACCCAGGAGACTCCTGGGGTCCCCGTGCCACCCAACATGCATATCACCCAGAGGCTCATCCAGTTTCAGAGACTTACAAGCAACTGAAAGATGGTGTCAGGCCTGAGAAGCACTGTTCCCTCTGCTAAACTATCCTCGGTCAGGGATGGGAGATAATCGACCACTGTCTACAGCGGTGTCTCTTCTAATTACCTATAGATCCAGCATAGGCAACAACCATCTGTAGATCACTTTGTAGTTCCCAGCAGATAGCCATGAGCAATCCAAAGCAGCAGCTGACCTTGGCCTACAGGGGAGCTTCTCCAAAGGGTCCACAAAACTAATGCATCTGGAGGCTGGCACCAGACCACAACGGAGCAACTCCTGACTAGTCGCATTGGTGATACACACAAAGGGTAGTTGCAACAAGTACACAAGCCTGCTAGGGCAAATCCCACTCATTGGGGTCAGCCCCCACACAGCAACTCTTACCCTGTGAATACAGTCAGTTCCCACAATTAGTCAGCCTGAGCGTTAATTCCATTCACTGCTCTACTAACAACATTAAAGGCTTGATGACAACAAAACATCACCGAAAACTAACACAAAGATCTCATTGAGAGCCCCCAAATAAGGGATTAAGGAGAGTGCACCACTGGGCCACACAGGACACTTCCACATTAGGCAATCTGTCCAAGGCTGAGAGATGAAACAAATATTACTGACACAAAAAAATGAACACAGAGAGGCTAATAAAATGAGAAAACAAAGAAACATACCGCAAGTGAAACAACAAATGAAATGGAAGTAAGTAACCTACCAGAGACAGAGTTCAAAATAATGGTTATAAGGGTGCTCAATGAACTTATGGGAAGAGTGGATGAACATAATGAGAACATCGACAGAGAAGTAGTAAGCATAAAAAAGCATGTAGAAACTATAAAAACAAACCAGACAGATATGAGGACTATGATAACTGAAATGAAGATTACACTAGAAGGATTCAACAGTAGATGGAAAGAAACAAAAGATCGAATCAGTGAACTGGAAGACAAGGTAGCAGAATACATCCAATCAGAACAATAGAAAGAAAAAAAAATAAATGTGGATAGTTTAAGAGACGTCTGGGAAAACATGAAATGTAATAATATCAATATCATAGGAGTAACTAAAGAGGAAGAGAGAGAACAAGGGATTGAGAATCTATTTGAAGAAATAATAACAGAAAACTTCTCTGACCTGGAAAAAGAGTTAGACATACAAGCTCAGGAAGCACAAAGAGTCCCAAATGAGAGGAATTTAAACAGGCCTACAACAAGACACATCATAATTAAAATGCCAAAGGTCAAAGACAAAGAGAGAATCTAAAAAGTAGCAAGAAAAAGGCAGTTAGTTACTTACAAGAGTATCCGCATAAGAATGACTGCTGACTTTTCAATGGAAACTTTGCAGGCCAGAAGGGAATGACAAGAAATATTCAAAGTTATGAGAAACAGGAATCTACAATGATGAATACTCTATCCAGCAAAGCTTTCAATTAAAATGGAAGGTGAGATAAAGAGCTTCCCAGACAGAAAAAAGCTTAAGGAATTCATCACCAACAAGCCAGTATTATAAGAAATGTTAAAGGGACTTCTGTAAAAAGAGAAGAAGTAAGAAAGAAAATAGAAATAACAAATATGAATAATAAAATGGCAATAACAATGTACCTATCAGTAATCATTTTAAATGTTAATGTATTAAATGCTCCAATCAAAAGACATAGAGTAACTGAATGGATATGAAAATAAGACCCATATATATGCTGTCTACAAGAGACCCACTTCAGATCAAATGACACTCACAGACTGAAAGTAAAGAGATGGAAAAAGATATTTCATGCAAATGGAAATGGAAAAAAAAAAAAGCCAGGGTATCAATACTTATATCAGATAAAATAGACTTTAAAATAAAGGGTATAATAAGAGACCAAAAAGGG